TGGTGGTGGTGGTGGTGGTGGTGGTGGTGGTGGTGGTGGTGGTGGTGATGGTGGTGATGCATTCAAGCTCTCACTAGCCTCCTTACATATTGTTATTCCAGACGTTTTTCTCACTCCGATGGACACTGAGCACCACACCTGGAATTCTCCTCACATCATCAAGGTCACATAGATCCTCCGGGAGTGGCAAGCAACTGGAATTGGCCTAAAGACACACCTAAAGACAAAAATTATCGTCGTGATTATCATTCAAGTAGTCGTGCATAAATTACATGATTTTATATGTCCACACAATAGAAGAAATGCCTTTTCCTGCAACAAGATCCCTGTGAGAGTTGCCGTCATTTCACTTTGGTTGTCCTAAAACGAACCGGAGTAACAAGACTAGGCTCCATCTTCCATCATATCTTCACCTTGGGGCGAGCTTTCTGCTCGTGTCCCCTCCCAATCCATCATGTGTCTGGCAAATGCACATCGCTTCCCTTCTTTCCGTCGACCACTGCATTCCCGTTCTTCCCCCACACCTCCTGGACCTTCACAGACGCGCACCCCATGTCCCCAGTCCCTTTTTGGTGTTTCGGGACGAGCCGAAATGGCTTCTTCGGAGCCTTGGCCAAACCTTCGACATCGTGTAGAAAATGGGAAGAAAATGAAACCATACCAATGGAAGAAGCGACTCAGTAAGAATCCCAATATCCCCGGACCTTGAGCTCCCAGCACGTCCCAAACTATCAAGTGCAGGATTTCAGGCAAGCACAGTCCTCACAGATTGGTATGTTGCTTTAGTCTGTAGAGGCTCCCGTCTGTGGAGTCTGTGTTTGGTCGACCTTCTCGAGCTGAGGAAAGAATCGGGGCCCTATCTGAAAGAACATCTGGGAGTCCTGTGTTCTTTGGACTTAAAAGCTCTGGTACTTTGTGTTCTTCGCTTCACCATGCATGACGTTCACCGGGAAGCTGAGCAAGGCTAGGCAACTTTTGGAACAATGGGATGCCCAGAGCTGCGGGAGACACAGCTCGCAGCAAGGCAAGACCCGAAAATTGGTTGCCCAGGATGACCAGAGTTTGTAAAGGCCAAAGTAATTTAGATAAGTTGAACCAGGTTGAACCATAGTGTCCATCAAACCTGCACAGGATCAAAAATATAAAGTCTCACAAGTTCTCCGCTCTCATCTCTTTTGATGTCATGTGCTTTGAGCATATCCAACGCTTGCCACGCACCAGGCCCAGTAGGTTATTCCAAGAAGTTTGCAGTAGGTTTGGTCTCAGGGTCTGAATCGATTGAACTTCTTGGGCTGGCGCAGCTCAAAGAATTAGATGGACCACTGAGAACGATCTAGATCCACTCAAGAACTGATAGCTTGATCCACATGGAGAAGGAGCCAGCAAGAGCTGAAGATCAACAAATCTACAAATATACTGGGTGTTGGATGTACCCTTGAGCATGCAGCTCACCGTGTAAAAAACAGCTGGTCAGCTGGTACTGGCACCATAAAAAGGCGCAAAATGAGCTCTCGCAAAGCTTGGCTCAGTCACAGCACCTGGAGACAGTAAACATTGAATCCCACTCCTTGCCAGTCTGCCAGAGCATGATAGAGCCACAAATTCCAACAGCGCCGTTTCATCCTTTGCATCCCTGGGCTGTGCCAAGGTGTCTGGGCAAAGCTTCACAACTAGAGACTAGAGCCCCTGGGAGCAGTTCTGCGCTTCCTTCGAGCAAATGGGATTTCAAAGCAATTGCGCCAAAGGATTGCATGGGCACGCTGTGCTTCTAACTTCCCAAACAGATTGGGTCGGGTTCTGAAATCCACATGGGATGCGTCGGGCACATCCCAGAAGTCGTTTTGGTCTGAGGGCCTCACGCCGAGTCGTAGCAGATGGGTCCCCGGCTCGGGAGTTCGAACAGCAAGCTATGAAGGAGACCAGCTTGTCACTATGGACACCTCAAACACGACCGTATCATCGCAGTGATGAGCTGCCTTATGAAACCAGCACCACAGGTTTCGCAGAACTGACAGTGGCTTCGTAGCTCGTGGGCGGATTGAACGCGGTCTTTCTTTGATTCCCCAGTAAACGACTGGCCCCTGCCTCGCAAGTCGAGTCCAAATCAGCTGCGATGCCTCAACTCTCAAATGTTCAAGGTGAGGTGACTTCAGCATGGGGATTCCGTGCGATCATATTTTAAAAAAATGAGTCTGTGTATTTTGCAGTCGCAAAACATACTAATTAACAAACTATCACTATAGCAACAACCACGGCAGGAATGAACATGAGCAACGAGTCTCTGATTGCCGGGCCGCCGGTTATGTGAAGAGGTCTGAGAATTGGAGATAGGACAACTCAGCCGCACAGCTGGCACAAGGAAGAAGTACCTCAAGATGCGCTTCGACTGGAAAAACATATGCAAAAGCAAGCGCTGGGAACGTTACACCGGCATAGGCCCCGGATAGCATGTTGCAAAAAATAATTCAGGAGGGATACTTATGTGTACAATCCAATGTGATGGGATCAGGGGATGGGCTCAGAATGCAAAGACGGTTGCGATCAAGGCCTGGTTTCAGAGCCAAACCCGGTTCCAGAAGGTGCAATCAGAGTCTGGCTCCGGTGTCTTAAGGTTCAAAGACTTCAGCGTTCCACGGTTCTAGGCTCAAAGTTGCAACCAGGGAAGTGCTCCAGAGTGCCAGGCAAAAAAATTGCGATCAAGGCCTGGTTCTAACACAAGTAAGAGCCCTTTATGCGACCCCCTCAAAATTGAAAAACTAGGTGGGTGGCCCCCGCTTGGTTTTCAATGTTCTCAAATGTTCCACATCTACCCCACACACACACACACCAATGAAAATAAAACAATTGCTCACAGGCACATGGCCAACAAGAATAAATATTTGCATAATCTCCCAGTGTTTCCTGTGTCAAGGAGTCAGTCAGCGACTGGAAGAAGGTGCTGGCAATATGGCATGAGGGAACTAAGGCGAACTGCCAGTCTGATTTCCCAATTAATCTGGCTTCGCAGAATTGACAACACCATGAGCTTCCAGTTCGTTCTTCACCTATGAGGACTTGCTGCTGCCTGACCTCTCGAGCATTGGACCTGATGGCTTTCTTAGTTACAGGATCATGGTTTCCCGTAAGTAGCAGCGAATTAGCCTCCACCGCCCGACAGCTTTCTAAATGAAGCCCAGCCATAACCCTTAACAAAAAAACGCCTAGCATGGCCACACGGCTTGGAGAAAAACGTTCACTGCGGAACTCCCGCATTTTTGGTGGTGGTGGTGGTGGTAGTAGTAGCTGCAGCACCAGCACCAGCAGCAGCAACAGTAGTAGAAGCAGTACTAGTAGACTAGCACACGAGGAGTAGTAGTAGTAGTAGTAGTAGTAGTAGTAGTAGTAGTAGGAGCAGCAGCAGCAGCAGTAGTAGTAGTAGTAGTAGTAGTTAGTAGTTGGTAGTTAGTAGTTCGTAGTTAGTAAGTAGTTAGTAGTTAGTAGTTGGTAGTTAGTAGTTCGTAGTTAGTAAGTAGTAAGTAGTAAGTAGTAGGTAGTAAGTAGTAATTAGTTAGTAGTAAGTAGTAAGTAGTTATATAGTAGTTAGTAGTTAGTAGTTAGTAGGTAGTAGGCAGTAGGTAGTAGTTACAACTACTACGACTACGGCTACGACTACGACTACTACTACTACTACCTCTACTAATACTACACTTTAGCAAACAAACATAGATCCAAATCAAAAAAATGTACATTAACACGGAACACGGACAAGCCCCCAAGTCGCTTAACATAGAAAAAGGGTCCAAAACAGCTCCTCAGTATCGAAGTTCTATGTTAGTCTCGGTTACTCTGTCCTAGTGAAGTTCTATGTTAGTCTCGGTTCCCTCGGTCCACACATCCTCCCTCCCTTCAAAAAGGGTGAGAACAGGTATTATGTGACATTTGTGCGAGAAGTGCTTCCACTTGTTGGCTTTGCTGTGTTTGTTCACGTTCACGCGGTACTGTAGCCTTTGGACTACAGTATGGTCTGCACCGTGCTACTGTACTGACAGAATCAATCACGCAGCGTTAACATAGAGCACGGGGCGACATTTCTCTACCTCAGTGCAGCTTACTGTATTGTATCTTGAAGGATGGAAGCCATTTGTGTGAGGACCTCTTTCCGAGGCCAAAAAAAGTCATTTCTGGTGGCAGTTTAGTAAACGATTTTACACAAAATGTTCAAGTGTTGGTTTGGCTGTTTTGGTTCACCCAGTGTGAATACTAGGTAGCCAACTTTGGACGACAAGTGCTGTACTGTAAGAAGGGCAGCCAATACTGTCTCATTACCATAACGACAGAATCACACACAGCCGTTAACATAGAACATGGGGTGACATTTCTGGTGAGTACTCTACCTCATTGTAGCTTATCTTGAAGGATGGAAGCTATATGTGGGGAGATCCCTTTCCGAGGCAAAAAAGTCATTTCTTGGGGCAGTGTAGTAAAAGATTTCATACAAAATGTTCAAGTGTTGGTTTGGCTGCTTTGGTTCACCCAGTGTAAATACTAGCGTAGCCAACTTTGGACCACAAGCACTGTACCGGAAGAAGGGCGTGCCATTATTGTACCATTACCGTACCGACCAAATCACACACAGCCGTTAACATAGAACACAAGGTTACATTTCTGGTGAGTACTCTGCCTCATTGTAGCTTGTCTTGAAGGATGGAAGCTATTTGTGGGGAGATCCCTTTCCGAGGCAAAAAAAAGCATTTCTGGGAGCAGTTTACTTAGGGTTTTTTATACAAAATGTTCAAGTGTTGGTTTGGCTGCTTTGGTTCGCCCAGTGTGAATACTGGGTAGCCAACTTTGGACCACAAGCGCTCGGAGGTGGAAATCGCGGGTTTTGAGGTGGAGGACCAGGAGTTTGGAGCGAGGGAGCTTGGAGCGTGCAATACACATCACAACACATCACAAACTATAACTACATTAACATGGAACCTGCCAGGCACAAAACCCACTAACATGGAATCCTGGGTAGGCATCCTGAAACGTGTTCGCATGCTATGTTAGCCCTGTGGGTGCGGCTTTTTCCTGCTTACATGGAACTGCGCCTGCAAAAGCATGCATGGTCAACACGGACCGTCAATTTCCTTTTTTGGGGGGGTATGTATGTCTGCTGAAGAGTCCTACTACTACTACTACTACTACTACTACTACCAATACTAATACTAATACTAATACTAATACTACTACTACTACTACTACTACTACTACTACTACTACTACTACTACTACTAC